GCGCCGCCAGGAACACGGGGCTGCCGGCCGCCGCCAGCCCGTTGGCCAGAGGCCGTCTCCTCTCGAAGTAGAGCCCCAGCATGATGAGCGACGGCTGGAAGTTGAGGGCCAGGCCCAGGCCTGCGGGCGGGCACAGTGGCGCTGGGCCTGGCTCCCGAGGGGGTATCCCCCAGCTCCCCCGCAGCGGGGCAGGACCCCGCGGACGCCAACTGGGAAACCCAAGGACTGCCACAGGGTAGGGGGTGGGGAGGACTGATAACAAGCAGTTTCTCAGCCAGGACTCCAGCCTTCTCCCCACCCTCAGAGGTGCCTGGTGGCACCCTCACCTGTGAGCACCCCAGCTGTCAGGTACAGCTCCAGGAGGCGCGTTGCAAAGGAGGCCAGGACCATCCCTGCCGAGGCCAACAGCCCACCCACTAGCATCACTGGACGACAGCCAAAGCGGGTCACGAGGATGCTGGACACGGGGCCTGTGGGAGGGGTGGGGTACACCCAGGCTGGCGCATCTCCTCTCTGCAGGGGATGGCAGCTTCAAAGGGTTAAGGCCACCCTTAGTTCAGGACCCCAGAGGGCAATGACTGGTCAAGTTCTACAGCGGAGCTGGAGCAGACCAAGGGGACAGCTCCCTGCAAAGGGCAGGGGAGGAAGGGACCGGGCCCAGAGCCCCTATACCGCTCCTCCTGGGGTTCCGGAGCCCACCCCTTTGTAGTTATCTTCCAAGACTCCCTGCAACCCCCATGACCCTGCCCTCTCTCCCCCATTGGCCCGGAGATGGGGGGGCTGGCAGGACAAGAATGCTAGGTTAGCGTGGGGGAGGGGAGGCACCCTGTATCTGTTTCTCCATTTGGGAGGGGGCAGGAATGGAGGGGCCCTAAGCTTGGCTGCTGTCCCCTCCCCCCAAGCTAAAGTTCCCAAGGGTTTCCACCTGACCCAGAGGCACTCAGGGGTCAGGGGTCTCCTGGCCTGGATCCAGGGGCAGAGGGGGCACTGACCAGTGCCATAAAGCATGGCCAGCATGATGGAGGACACCCAGGCTGTGTCACTGTAGCCGGCATCAAAGTCGCTCATGAGCGCGCGGAAGAAGACGCTCAGGGCCTTGGGAAAGCCATAGGCGAACCCGGTGACCCCAAAGCAAGCGCCCAGCACGACCCAGCCCCAGGCGCCATCGGGAGGATCCTCGCCCAGCCGAGGGCCACCAGCGCCCATGGCGCACACAACCTGTGCTGGAGAGGAGGGGGAAGGGTCGGCTGGGGCTGTCCTCCAGACAAGGGAGAGTAAACACGGGATGGGGAAACAAGTGACCTGCCCCACCAGCCCTGCTCAGGCAGGGAGCCAGGAGGGGACCCCAAGGTGGGCGTACCTCAGGCTTGACTTCCGGAAGGCGCTTCGTACTCCTTAGGGCTGACTGGTGGCAGGAGGGGGTCCAAGTGGGTGAGTGTGGGAGGTGAGGAAGTACATCAGGACCTATGTCCCCAGTGCCGTGGGAACAAACACAGGGGACAGACTTATTTTCCTCCTGCATGCACCTGATTTTCCTCAGTGACAAGAAATGACCGTTGCCATTAGTGATAGAAGGGGCTAGCTAGCCCTGCCACCAAGCCAGACCACACTCACTGCCACCAAACCAGAGTTTCCACAGGACAGGGCAGGACTGTCCCTGTGGGTTTTCTGAGACTGTAACTCTTGATGGGATGAGAAAGCCTCTTCTTTTACCCTCAAGAAAGCTCATAGTTTCAAACTGCTGACCTTGCAGATCGCAGCAAAGCTCAACTTTATCTCTGAGATCCAGGAGCTGGGCTCCAATCCAGCTGGGCTCAGCTTTGACTTGCTTTATGACTTCTGCATGTCCCCTCCCTCCCTCCATCCCTGGACTTCAGTGCCCC